AAATGTAGAGTTGGTTGTTAGAGTTTTGTTGGTTTATGGACCAACTTGTAGCCTAATTTTATATGTACAGGCGGCTCCGACTATATTTTTCCCTAATTTAAAACTAATCCAAAAGCAAAGCTATTTTCTTATCTAAATGGTGGGTCAATGATCCAATTTTTCAAAGAAACCCATGATATCATAATTGAATAATAATTATTTAAAAAAAAGATAGAATGCCAAAAATGAAAATGTACAGAATTTTGTTGGAAACATTTGAGAACATTTCTGATGTTATATATTCATCATATTAAATAAAAATGGTTGTTAAAATAAAAATTATTTTTATTTATAATAAAAATATAATACAAAATTTAATAATAATAATAATAATTGTTATTTGCTATAAGCATTTAAGTTTATTTTTAATCATAAATGTTACTTTTGTTAATTTTCAATTTCTATCTTAACTATAATACATCTAAAATTTAAGTAATTAATATAAAGAAAAATTTCTCACATGCAACACATATGTTTAATTACTAATATGATGAAAATAGTTGAAAAAATATTTGTATTTTTTATATAACCTTTTATATTTTATCCTTTTTAACAATTTATTAATTTTTTAAAAATTAAATCAGATTAGATCAAATTTGGACAGCCGACACCTTTAACAGATTCAGATTCGAATCAAATATTTTGTGTGGTCTAATCAAACCCTGGGATTGGATTAGGTCTATGGTTTATAGTATCGAAATGGATTCAAATATGCTTTTATTCGAATCTGATCCGATCGATTTGCATCCTACCTTCAATTCCCATATTTGCCTAAAAAAGAGTTTAAGTTTATATATCCAAACATGGCAATGTTTTAATTTGGACCAAAACTTTTCCATGGATAAATTAAGGTCGTTATGCATTGCTGATCCTGTTCGATATCTGGGCTGCGGTCTTTGGACCATCAGTCAGGTTGTTTAATGGCAACTTCATTTGGACGTCAAAGGAGTCCATGCTTGCTTTATTAATGAAAAGTAGTTTCGTCGAAAGTATTCTGTCACGTGATCAACGCTTCTTTTGTTGACAACTTTTTTTATAATAAGAAGTAATTAATATTATGGTAAGCTATTATTGTCTATTGATTTGGAAATATTCTTATATATGCAAGGCTGTTTACAGGGATGATGTAGACCGGCCGTGTGAGGTTGAACATGTGAAAGAAAAGAAAAAAAAAAAAAAGTAAAATTAAGGACATGTTTTACAAAGAAATCGAAGACCATAGATCGAATGATTCATAGAATGCAAGCTTAATTTTGACCATGAACTATCTGATGAACATGAAAGGTCGCGTCTGATGGACTATTCTTCTATAGAGGAAGATCAAAATTTAACACGACATATACAAATGATTAATTTAAGGGTTTTTTATTTTTGTGAAAATTAACCTTGTTATTTCATCACTTGACCGGTTGCGCTGAGAAGCTGATGAAGACTTTATGGTCAAAGCTTGTACTTGTAAATAGAGAATTCAAGTCTTGAGAATAATCCGTAGTTAACATTTGAGAATTATATGGTCTTAGTGTCACCGTTTACATGCAGGAAGCTGGTCACGGGTCAACTTGTCAAACTTCTCCAAACTTAGGTATGAATTAATTTTCTTTGATTTGAAGCGAAGCTTCCTTCTTTCTTAAGTCTTAACCCATGCAAATCAGTAACTATATATGCATCTGATGAGATGATTGTCCATGAACCCCGCAATAAACGCAGTCTTCCTTTACTTCACTACTCTGCATAATCCTTTGGGGTGATGGGGCCTTTTGCTTAATAATTATTTATTAGAAGGTGGTGCGTTAGGTAAGTACGTAGGACTATAGGAGAAGAATTTAGAAATTAGAAAAAGATGGGTGTATAGGTAAGCTGTCTTTATACTTAATCCAAAGCAATTTAATTACAATTATCTCTCTCTTCTGATTTTATGTTCATTCGGATTTAAGGGTATCGATAGTATGACCTAGAAATGTTTATCGGTTAGTTTAGATAAGGTTTGTCTCAATTCAGCCTACAAAGCAAGGTTCAAAGTATCCATATTTATCGGTGCATATCATACGATACAATATATCTGATTTTTCTGAATCACCGATATATATGTGATTTTTTTCAAATCGATATGTAAATATAGACTTACGTGAACTTTAAAGTTTGAAAATTAAAAAAATAAATCCAAAAAATCTTTGAAAGTATTCAATGCAAAATTTGTTTTTTAACTTTCGCAGATGTCTGAATATAGTGGTGTTGTTCGGCATTGTGATGTTTCAAAAGTTTGCACTTTAAAAATTTACCCTCAAGTCATTTTTAAATAAAAGTAAAAAGAAATTATTAAAGTAATATAATAATATTACAAAAATAATAAAAATATAAAATACGATACAAATCATAATATAAATAAAATTTAAAAAATAATGTTAAGAATGATGATATACTAACAAAGTATAAATATAATAATAAAAATTATCATAATATAATAAATAGTAAAAATAATTTTAAAAAGATAAATTAGTAAAAAATTGTTATAAATATAATAAAAATGTATAAAAGAAAAATGGTAATAAAAATTAAAAAATGTAAAAATATTATTAAAAATAATATAAAGTATAATAAAGCAATTTATAAATATTAAGATAATTTAAAAATGTAAAATAGTAAAAAATTCTTATAAATCTAATAAAATTGTAAAAATAAAATATTTATAAAATAGTAGTAATAAAAATTAAAAAAACAAGGAACACATCATATAATATTATTAAAAATAATAAAAAATAAGTATAAATAATAATAATGATAATAATAATAATAATAAAGAAAAGTATAGATATTTAAAATATTTTTACTAATGTGATTAAAATATTAAAATTAGCAAAAAGGGTTTTAGGTTTGGGCTTGGGATGATTTAAGTAGGGCGTAAATGGATCGAATTCGAATCGGATCAGGCAATATCTGAATTCGAATCCGATTAAATATTCGAATATTCAATTTGATTAATTAATTATTTTATTTAGTTATTAAATATATAAAATATTTTATATATTATATATAAGAATTAAATAATTGGTTGAATCCGGATATTTATCGAATCGAATTAGGACATATCAGAATTCGAATCCAATTAACTATTCCGTAAGAATAGGATATCCGAATTCGAGCGATTAGATATTCAAATTATCTGAATTCGATTCGATTATGTCAAATATTGAATTCGAAATCAGGTTTTCGAATACCGTTGACACCCCTAGATTTAAGATGTGGGGGTAGCTTTGGGTTTTTTAGTTTCTCAAAGGGGCATCATTGGAATTAGAATTTCGTGCACTACCTCCGAACACGCTCAAAGGTAACTCAAAATCTAAAAAAAATCAAGGCACTTTCAGCGTTCGGTGGCTCCATTTGGAAGTGCAATCGAACAAACACTAAGTGATGAAAAAACAAAATTTTCAACGTTCACTAGTCAATTCAGCACTACTAAACACCACCTTAGGCGGTGTTATATAAGTCTTTTCTGGGCTTCAACAAGCAAGACCAAAAGTTGATCCTTTTCTGTTTGGTAACCAAAGGCTGGTAAAACCAGAAGATGTGTGCGTAGAAATACCCAAAAAGATCGAGAATGTCAAATTTTGGGATGCTTCAAATGAAGCTTTTTGGTCTTTTCGTGTGATAAGTAGCCTCTAAACATGTTTTTAAAAGCCCGATAGACCGAGCCACTTGCCAAATGGTCTTTGTCTTTAAAGACAAAATCTCAAAAGCTCAATACATCTTTTGGCCACCTGTGTTGCTTGAGGCTCAATATGCCTTTGAACCTTGTCTAAAGGTACATCAACATGAACCCCCTTCTAGGGGTGGCCCCGAGCCGAGTTTCTCACGAGCTATTTAAACTTGGCTCATGAAAAAGCTTGGCTCGGCTCAGTTTAAATCAAGCTTCAAGCCGAGCTCAAGCCCGATATATAAGCTCGTTTGCTAATTGAGCCAAGCTCGAGCCTAGTGAAGCTCGGCATGTGAGCCTCGTGAGCCTAGTATAATAAATAAATAATTTTTATCATATATACATACATATGCGTATAAATATATATAATAAATCATTTTTATTACATATATACATATATATATATATAATATTTTTTATTTTTTATGTATAATAGTAAATAATTTTCATAATTCTTAATTTTTTATATGTAAAATAAAAAATATTTTTATATGTATAATTTTTATTTTTTAGAAAAAGCTTGGTTTGCATTCGAGCTTGAGCCATCCCGAACTCAAACTTGTGACCTTTTGAACTGAACCAAGCTCGAGTTGAAGTCTCTAGGTCGAATCGAATTCGAGCCTAACACCATTTCTGAGAGCTGAGCTCAAATAGCCAAATATTCTGCTCGAATCCACCCCTACCCACTTCCAGCCCATGAATAGTATGATCGGTACACTTTGCTAAGTCTATATTTACATATCTTTCATCGTATGTCAATGAGTCAAAGTCAAGGTGGATTTACCACCACATCCATAGTAGCACCGGATGTGAATTATATGGATTGAGTCTCTTTGAAATTTTGTAAAGATTGTTTTATTTGTGTAAATATTCCAATGACCCAATAGTTGAGATGGTCACTTGCCATTTCTTCAAAACAGAAGGCACAGGTCCGTGACTTGGTCGGTGGGCCTCACTTTGTATATTCAAATATTCTTCATATATGATATCATGTATCAAAATAAAGGAAATGTTGATCTAGCAATGCCCAATATTAAGCACCCAAAAAGTTTAAAATGGAGATTACATTTGAAAGAATTTTTCTCAAACAAGTTGAATATGAGCCTTAGCGTGCGGTTGGACTGGTCAGACACCTTTTTATATTTTTTTTTATTAAAAATGTCATAAACTATGTTAAAACATAGTAATTATAACATCCATTGCTTTGTGCAATGGTAAAATATCATGCTAATAAGCATGAGAACATGAGTTGGAGTATGAAAGCAGCCACTTGATGCTAAAAGTATCAGAGGTTAGAGTGATCATCTCCCTTGACATCCCTTTATACATTAATTTGCCACAGTTTCAATTTGGAAAATTTTCCAATAAATTGGACGCAGCCATAGCTAAATTCGCATAATTGTATGAATTCTTCATGGAGAGCTCAGTAGTATATCCCAATCATGTATTGAAAACATCTTTCACCGCATCCAATGCACACTGAGATATGCTGTGAGGTGTGTTGGTGTGGGGAGCCAATTCGAACTCGCTATCACCGCCTCTTTTCTGATAATTAATGCAGGCTGTGGGAACTGCTTGCATTTTCAGCTACGTTACACTCTTTATCACACAACCAATGGCAAGATGATTGGTTTGCTAATTATAGGAAGAAAGAAACTAAAGGGTTTGGAGATATTTGGCAACTAAAGATAGTGACACCAGCCATCAAAATTTTTATAGTTGGTTGACGAGATAACGAGAGTGACCACGAGGGCGGCTTGATGAAGGTCTTGAGTCCAGATAAGAGAAAGAGACAGCGGTGGAGATTTGGGTAAGATGTCGAAGAAAAAAAAAAAAACAAAAGCTTAAATATATAAAGAAATCCAACATTCACACTTCCTCCCACGAGTCACGCGTTCGTGAACCCGCGAATGAGAGAATGATACGTCGACCAGGCCAACATTAATGTCCGTTTGAGCGTTAACGTGGTCTGGTTGACTCAATCGGATGGTTTACGCGGATACGAACCGGTTTGGGACAAAAGGGCCTAGTTTCTTTGATTCTGTTTTCCTGAGAGCTTCTTCCACCGAATCCTATTCATACACCAAACTCTTTCTCTATCAGCGGCGATAGAGCTCCGGCGGTTTATCGACGGCGACAAAAAAACCTCCGGAAGAAATGCATTCTTCTTCTCCTCTTCTCTTCTTCTTCTTCGACAAGTAACTCCGGTGGTAGGGCCGGCGATCATTTTTCTTCTTCTCCTCTTCTTTTTCGTCTTCTCTGATGATAGGTCCAATCTGAAGGGGTGGTAGGACCAGTACTGAAACACAGTAATAGATGAGCGTGAGTGAGGACTCCACTCCAGAAACAGAAAGAGCGAATTACATCCGGTGCTAGTATACGGTCCTAAACCTGATTATATATCAAAAAAAAAAGAAGAAAAGAAGAATCAGAGTATTCAGACTGAATATCTAAGCATCATATGGCATATGGTAGATGCAGCAATTGCTTATCAGAAGGAAATTTTAGGGTTTAACAATATCGGAAAACAGAGCATTCAGAGATTAGGGATTTGTTGAATTTGTTGAATTTTTCGAACTGATTGGTTGCATCCATCCATCCAAATGTTCTGTAGACTTATCACAACAGCAAGACCTTAATTTCCAAATTGAGATTTCCTACAGACAAGAACAGCAAACAACAAAAACGAAAAAGATCTTATTACAGAGTTTTATCAATAAGCTTGCATCAGAACAATAAAATCAAAGATGAAATTAAACAAAAAAGAAGAAGAAGAAAAAGAAGAATTAAAAGGCTAGGCATCGCTGCCTACCATCGGAGAAGACGATGAAAAGAGGAGAAGAAGAAGAAGAGAGAAGAAAACATTGCCGCCGGAGGTTTCATTGTCGCCGTCGATCAACCGCCAGAACTCTATTGCCGCCGATGAAGGGTAGGGTTCGGTGGAAGGAGCTCTCGAAGGGAAACAAAATGGAAAAAATGAGGCCCTTTTGTCGGTGTTCCAGACCGATTCGTATCCGCGTAAACCGTCCGATTGAACCGACCAGACCAAATTAACGCTCAAACGGACATTAACATTGGCCTGGTCGACTTTTCGTTTTCTCATTCGCAGGTTCACGAACGCGGACTCTCCTCCCACTAGCATATTTACTTGTAAGACTAGTCATTCATCCACCTTCCTCTTTTTTTTCATTTTCTCTCTCTCTTTCTTTCTGATAAAGTCTCAAAGATTCCTGGAACTCCACCACTCATGGATAACATATTTTATCCCATTCACTGCATAATTTGATAAAAGGCGGAGACAGTAGTAGTTATCTTAAATTTATAGAGCTTCCACATTTCTTTATCCAAACCTACTTTCTTACTGCAAAGAGATAAAATTTCATGTTCACTCATCATTCCAACCAAGCCTTTACCAAATCCCCATGTCATGTGGCATCTACAAACAGGATCTTCCAATAGTGACCATTCTAGGCTTTCAGTCCTTTCGTTTGGCATCTCCATTTTACCAATCAATAAAGTGTCTTAAAGTTCAATACAAGGTTAGAAATATTGCAACGTATTGATTTTTCAATCCATAAATATTAAGTATTTAAGATTTAGGGGAAAAGGACCATATTCCATCATTTATACGTTATACTCGTCCTAGAGATAACCTGGCCTGATTCAAATCTTAAAATCTGAAACAATTTTAAAGCATGAATATTGCTCCCTTAAATTGTGATGTATACAATTTTTGCATATATATTACACGTATCAATGCTTTGAACCATGGTTTAAGACTAACAAATTAAACAAGATGGATGTGAGTTGGGTCTGGAATTGGTCATAAATGCTTCACTCAACATTTGACTATTTGGAAAGGGAACATCCTGAGCTGTAGGTGGATCATATTTGGTTGGAAACCAAAGTAGGCAAAGGAAGATAGCGGCCTGGCGGGTTGGTTGGGATCATTCCCTCCATCATCATTGTACCTCCATGTTTTTAGTTAATTGAGACTATATTTGTTTTTGGTGTAAATGTGAATCGATGTAAAATTCTACAATTAGTTCATATTTGCCTTGCCTATGTTTATTTTCAGTATAAATAGGGATTAGTGTAAAATTTCATTCATGATCTGTATTTTTTAGGCACTTGTTATTAATATAAAATTTACATTGAAAACTGATATAAATAATATATTGATTTTATTGTACATTTACATCATCGATTATCACATCCAAAAAATTATAACAGTCCACTAAAATTTTAAATCCATCAATGAATTTTTCACTGAAAAGGGTTTTGATGAGATAAATCAGTAGCTAAAAATGGTTGTTTTTGATATTATTGCTGTTTTTTTCTAAAACGTTTAAATTGATCAATACAAATTGATGAAAAATATATACTATCACACATAACATAAGAATCAAATCAACAAAAAAAAAAAAATGCTAGCATCCCTCAAACTTTGAATTTGATGGACAGTTTGTATTGATCAACCTAAAACCCAAAAAGTTTGTAAGTAAAAACAGCAATAGTATGGTAGCAAAAACAAGTAATGTTAACTGTTTGGCTGGACAACACCTCTCGAGCAGCGTTGCAGAATCATTTGCAGTTGTTGGATGCGGATAACATAATAAAGACGTGGATATATCAACAATCCTAACGTGTTTACTTTGTTTCCATAGATTCTTTAACGTGTATACAGTTATATAGCACCGAAACTGGAGGCCTACCAAAGGTAAACGTGTATCATCTTATCTTCCACGTGGCTAAGCTAGATACGTGGAGAGTACATCCAATGGATTTTAGGGTCATCGGTCTCTTTCCATAGCTTACACAACCCAGTGGACACGCGCCAAAGGAAAATATCTCTTCACTTTCCCACGGCCACTACATACCCTCCATGTCCATGTCCACCACCTAATCGATCAATTAGGTAGATTGAGGACTTAACCCTTTTTTGCCACGTGGAGGGATATTCTTATCACGTAAGAGGCCCTTCGTTGGCCATGGACTCATGGTTCACTCCAGAGTACAAAAACAGCTCAAGCCCCAAACCACCTTGGATCCTCTTTATGGACACCAAGCAGATCAGATAGATATTTTGATTGGATATATTAATATTGGGATCTGAACTGAATCTTATCCATTGAATAGATCAATCTCGGTTCGGATACAATTTGGGTTTGTATATCATTATTAAAATATAACAAAATTATTAACAAAATGAATATAAAAAAATACTTTGATTGAATTTGGATCAGGGATGCGGATCTGAAACGAAAATCCGATAGAAAGGGATTGTTTCGTAGGTCGTCTATGATTTTTTTTTTTTTCTCGAAGGACCCGACTAGCATATGCATATCTGAGAGCAAAAGGTTTTCTTTTATTTACCTTATTATAGTGCTTCTTCTCCACTCCAAAAGACCCGAGTAGGAGAGGAGACTGGAGACCCGTTCCGCATCACGGTCAACTGAAGTGGGAGTGGGACAGACGTGATTTCGGACACGTCTCTAACGCTTTATCAGAAATTTCGCAGTCATTCTTTCTGTTTAATGAGTTTATCTAAGGGAATCCACAATCCATACCACTTGGACAGTTGGACTGAGTTTCCAGGAATCTTTTAATAATAGCCCAATCGCCATTTCTCATTTCATTATCCAGTCGCCAAGTCGTTTCCTTCCCTTTCCCCTTTTATTTGTAGTCAAACCAAACCTCTTCATTTCATTATCCAGCTGCCTTTCCCTGGGGACGGAAATGACAAATCCTCGTATGTTAAAGGACGTTTCTGTCCTTCCGCAATAAATTCCAAAAAGTTGATAGATAAAAGCTTTCCTTAAACGGAACTACGAAAACTGAAAACAAACTGTAGAACCATTACATCGTCTGTCCCCAGAGAACAGAAAATTTTCTGTCCCCCCAATAGATATCTGCCACATCTTTATTTATATTCCAATTCAATTTTTACGGAGTCAAAAATTTAAATTCTCTTAACTTGCGTGAAATTTTCCCCCTTAACCTACCCCAAATTTCTTCCCGTTCATTCCTCTCGAACTGGTTATTCCATCTCTCTCCCTCTCATTTCTTGTTCTTCACTTGCATTCTAACTTCTAAACCTTTACTGGTAGCAGGGCTGCCTCCTAGCGCTTGGTGAATCCGAACCTCTTATTTCATTCCTCTCTATCTCCCTTTCATTCCCATCAACTGCTATAAACAAGGGTAATTGTCATTTGTGTGGCTGGAAAAAAATTTGTGCATTGGATACAGTCGTTAAGTGTCTCTAGATTCCAACAAAGTTCAACTTTAGCTAGAGTAGCAGCTCCTGTGGGTTTCAAGAAAAGCTTTACCATGATTGAGCATGATAATCCAATAAAGATTTTCATAATTCTTACAATGGCGAATGCACTTAGAGGACTGTAATTCTTCCGTTCCAATATAATTAATGCAGTGATTACAGCTGAAATGCCCCCGGCTTGATCATACATCCAATTCCGTCCTAAAAAACTGGTAAAGATGATCAATGGGAGAAGGGAGAGAAACCTAATATCTTCGAACCTCTGGAAGATGAAGCAACTCAAGACTCCATAGACGGTCCCTAAAACTGTCCCTTGTGACTTAACATTCGCAACCTTAAACATTGCTTCTCTCCCCCAGCCATGCCGACGGCGACTGTCAATCCTGACCAATACCCATCTCCCTTACTAAACATTGTCCCAAAGAAAACGAAAAATATAATCTGCAAGCGTTGACTCTATGAAAAACTATAGTTGGTATGTTAAGCTCTTGAGCCACATCAATGGTGAATGGCATGATCCCATCTTCTTATGATGCATGTCACAGGCGGCCGGACGTTATTTTAAGGAGCCGAACAATTCCATGAGGTGTGGACCTGAGTGGGGGTGATCAAAAGGAAGACCTGGGATGGTTGCAAAGTGGAATCCGGGCCAACGGGCGAAGTGTGTGGGAGTTGAGGTTGATAAAGCGAAGGAGACGGTGATGGATGTGTTTGGTGCTAAGGAATGCGACATGGAATTGAGCATGTGATATTATAACCTTCGAAAACTTGAGCACTTGAGGTAATGCCACTGATGATGGCTCCATTTTTCCATTCTGATTGCAGTAGTGACGGTCGAACGAGAGAAGTAGAGGAAGAGGACGAGCAGCAGAGAGAAAGAAAGAAGAGGGTAAGACAGAGGAAACGAATGATGAATGAGGGAGGGGTGGGTGGGGTGGGTTAATGAAATCAAAATGAGTTTTGGATTCTAGACTTAAAAGTCTAGACGCCAGTAATTTCAAGTGAAAAAAGAGTATATAACGTGTTCAAATTCTATTGGGTGGGACAGGAAATTTTCTATCCCTTGGGGACAGACGATATTATTGATAGAAAGGATAATAGATTCCCTTGGGCTCATGAGTCATGACAAAAAACAATGTCGATAAGGGTTCGGACCTCCTATCCGGAGTTTGCCAATTATGTCTAGTCTAGGTTAGTCGGTAGTCCTGTCATTTTGGATAAAAAACGGGAGACCAAAGGGAGTCTGACCAATTCCGTAATTAATCCAACAAAGAAGTCTTAAAGTACACACATTCCCTTCCCCAGATATATATAAACATAAAAAAACTAAAAAGGGAAACGAAAACGAAAAACAAACATAAAACACACACATGCAACCATCTCCTTTAGTTTCTCTTCTCTCGACAACAACTTATGTATATCTTTCTTCTTTCCTCTATATTCCTCTCAGCCTCTGATCTCTCTGTCGCACTGCGCAACTAATTTGTCTCTTCGTTCATCGTTCTCCGAGTGACGCACTGCTGAAGGGCTGAGTCCGGTGAGAGAGAACAGCGAAGAGGAGTGATCTTGGCATAGCGAGGTGGCAATGACTCGGCGGTGCTCTCATTGTAGCAACAACGGGCACAACTCGCGGACGTGCCCAACGAGAGGAGGAGTCAAGTTGTTCGGTGTTCGACTGACAGATGGGTCTATAAAGAAGAGTGCCAGTATGGGCAATCTCTCCTCTTCTTACTTTTATTCCTCCTCCTCTGCTGCTGCATCACCCAACTCTGCTTCTCCTTCTTCTGATCCTCTTCGAGATCAAACGCCCGTTGCTGAAGGTTACGTCTCTGATGATCCTGCTCACGCCTCTTGTTCTTCCAATTGTCGAGGCGAGAGGAAGAAGGGTAACATTTTCTTTTTCGATTGACAGAATTATGCCCGGATTCCAGTATTATTTCATTGTTTTGGACATCTTCTCTTTCTCAGTTTCTTGTTCTGATCTTCTATTTTTTATCCAGTTGGATCTAAGCAAGGAACTTTGTTTGGACTTTGGGTAAAGTTGAGATTTTGATTATGTCTTTCTTCAATATGTATCCTTCATTATGTGGGGATGAGGGTCTTCTTTATTTTGATAATACGCTACCACCTTTCATTTTGATCTGATTGGTACCTGATTCCTACAGTCCTTGAGAAAAAAAAAAATGCTTTCTTAGTTGTGATATTTTTTTTTTCTTTTCACATTTCTTCATTTCTTATGCAATGGTGCGTTAACAGAAGTCTTTAATGAGCCTGTAACTGTTCGTTAATATTTCTATTTACCCGATATTTGGTACGTTCAGGGATTCTGTCTGTTATCCTTCCAGATGTCTCTACTAAATTCTAATTTAATTTAATTTCCAGTAAGTTTTGTTTCAATATTTATTAAAATTTCATCTCTTTATATCGGTGATACCTTCCTCTGTTTTGTTTTAGCCTTTGTTTTCTTTTATTTTTCTAACTTTTCCATTATAAGTCATTCTTTTTTCCTCTGTTCCCGTCTCTGTTATTTCTATTATTTCTGTGATTTCTTCTTGTTAATAACAAAAACAACAACAACAGATTATTTTGGGAATTCTTATTCGGATCACTTGGTATTATTCATCATTATTGTCATATTTTTTATCAATCAATATTATTGTTGCAATTAACATTATAATTAGGAAAGAAGCTTGCAAACTTGTGTTGATATTTTTCCTTTTCTCTGTGTCATGAATCTGCCTAAGATTACAGTTGTGCATTTTTCCAAGTTCTAGCCATCAAACAACAGAAGCAAATGACAGTGATAATTATCAAGTAATCTCCATGAAATTACACCTTAAGAGAAAGTCAGGAAACTGACGGAAATTATAGATTAGTATCCTCCAAGTAAAGCGTTTTCAGTCTTCTGCTATTTTCCTCAATTAGAGCATATCACCCTTCTCCAAGTTTTATGGATCAGGTTTTTCTTTCTTTTTTTTTTTTTGCACTTTGAAATAATTTTGCAGGAACATTTGATAGTGGTCGAGGATATAGATGTCCCTGTTTGCCTCCTTTAAGATTTAGATTTTTCAACAATGTCGGTTGTTGATTATTGCATCTTGTTGCTTTGGCTCCAATTTTAATAATAACTTGGAAATTTCAATGTCAACTCCTACCATCTTTCACAGATCTCTTATGTAATCTTTCTATTTTCTTTCTCTTTTCTTTTCTTTTCTTTTTTTTTTATGTTTTACTTTGAGGCTTTTGACTTATTAAGAATTCACAAGTTATGCTTTTCACCATACACATGTGCATGCACCTCTCTCTCTAAAGGTATCCTAATCTGGTCAAATAGGGAGCTCTGCCTATTCTGCCTTGTGGAACAATCATGTGGAAAATTGGGACCTTCTATCTGAAAGAGTATCGACTGGATTTGCCATGTGCCCAATCCCACTGTCCATATCAGCCCATACGGCCAAATCTGTATTGGACTTTTTCCTGATTGATGATTATAAACATCCAAACGTGCAACATTTTAATGCAAAAAAAAGCCCTACTTTATTTTGAGCAATTGGAAAAGAATTTCAAGCCGAAAATTTTATGTTGTTAAAGCTTGGTCTTGATTCCTCTAGAATACCAAGCCAAATATGGATTTAACCATGTCAATAGGCACTGTGATTCTGTTGGCCTAAAAAGTGCTAAAACATAGCCTAAGAACCTTTCAGATTATAACAAAGAGTGTCTCTTTTTTGTTTGGATGAAGTATCCGAATCTTATTGGGTTAGATCACAAGTTTGAAGTCGATTAGGCACTTGAATTCTTATCAAGAAACATGAATCCCTTTGATTTTAGTCTTCAAACTTTGTTAGGCTCATTGGCATTAGCTAAATTTTTTTTTCTCAGAAGAAGCCAAAGATCCAAGAGGCAACAGTCAAATTGGTGTCAAATTAGGTCATCTTCTGCCAATAGAAAGTGAAGATCTCTTAGCAACTACTGAATCTTATCATCTAAATCAATCTCAACTGTGACAACCATAGATTTGATCCTCTTCTCCCCTCTCAACAGAGGCAATATGTGCCTATTAGATGATATGGTTATAACAGTCAATAATTAAGGGACATTAGTCACTGAGATCAGGAGATAATCCCCAATCATTCCAGTGAAGATGTTATGGATGAGTCAGCACATTATGTTGTTTTCCCTCTTTGTTATACTCCAAATTTCTATAATGCTTATCCTAGTAAATGCTTATTCATTGTTAAATTCAAGTCATCACACAAACAGACTTGTGTGCAAAGCCAAGGCTATAGTTTTCCAACCTTGAGATTCAGTTTGGAGTAGAAAGGAATTAATTTCTGAATGAGGGGTTTTATTTGGTGTGGAGTGGGGAGCTAGAGACACTTGCAATGGCATTGTCCAATTAGAGAGTCAATGCGGATTGTGGGTGAATAGTTTAGACCATTAACCAGTCTCCAAAACAGTTTATATGTGAAACCCTTGAAAAACAATTTCATGATAAATGCTGGATTTGGTAAACAACTAGCCAAATAAATCATCTGGGGTGAACTGTTGAGCTGTTGCTGGTGTTATTAAATGTTCCTAATCCTTTGTCACATGGGATGGATATGGTTGTATAAGGGTTATTATCATCTTGTTCAGAGTAATGAATAGGCTTCTGGTTTGGTCTTCAGGGGTCCCATGGACTGAAGAAGAGCACCGGCTGTTCTTAATGGGCCTGCAGAAGTTGGGGAAGGGAGACTGGCGTGGAATTGCACGCAATTTTGTAATATCAAGGACTCCAACTCAGGTAGCCAGCCATGCCCAGAAGTACTTCATTCGACAGAGTAATGCAACCCGGAGAAAGAGGCGCTCAAGCCTATTCGATATGGTCCCAGATATGGTTTGTCTAGTTCTTCATTCTACTGTTGTTATGTTTATAACTCTTTCACACTGTTTTAGGCAGAATTCACAAAAATATCTTGCATTCGAAACAAGTACATAGAAATAAATGTGTAGCTTCTCTTTTTATTTCGAATTTTCAGTCTATAGATAGGGCACCTGCACCAGAAGAGCAGTTAGTGCACCATTCTTCTCAGGCCAGGGAGAGCGAGAATGTGAACTCATTGCCTACGTTGCATCTCTCACTTGACCAGGAAAGTGAACTTATGGAAGCCATTCCCGATGAGACTGTCAAAGCTGATGAAAGCGTAAAAGTTGAAAATTTTGCAGCAATGGTTCCAGGGCATTTCACAACATACCTACCCATTCCATTCCCGTTCTGGCCATCAGGTCTGGCCCCTGCTGGAGAAGAGATTAATGTAGGGGAGACTTCCCATCACCATCAGGTTCTAAAGCCAACCCCAATACTTTCCAAGGATCCTTTCAATGTAGATGAAGTGGTGGGGTTATCTACACTTAGTCTAGGAGAGGCTGCTGCTGGTCGAATAGAACCCTCGCCACTCACCTTAAAATTGAGAGGAGCTCCATCCAGGCAGTCGGCCTTCCATGCAAATCCTCCTGTCAGTGGGTCAGATTTGAGCAAGAGTAACAGTAGTATAATCCATGCAGTTTAATTTAATTAAGATCATGGACAGAAAAGCTCTTTATCTAGTTTTTCATTTCTTTTTTAACTTGATGATATTTTCTTGATTAATTTTCCCCAACACTTCTTTTTCTATATAAATTTTCATTGTCTACACAAGACGAAAAAGTCTTCCTAATCCTGATAACAAGAAGTTAAAATGGTTGGGGTGGGGCTGCTGTAACTGTAAACAAAAGGCTAATGGAAAATTCTTGAATCAGAATGATAATCAGATAGTCCTTTTATAGAAATATGTGTATATTAATAGTCAGAGAGAGAGAGAGAGAGGCTAAAGAATTAAACCAGTCCTACCCAGGAGATCTACAAGGTCAAGAATTATGTCCAACTCGTGACAAGCAGTTGAATTGGGTCTGCAATTTTGTCTCCAACTCGTGCGATTTTGCATACAAATATAGATTACAACAGACATCATTCAAATCCTGTTAGAAGACTCTTGTCTCCCACATTCTCAAACGCTTGAGAATGTTCCTTGAATTCACCATGTGGGCTGGGATGCTAATAATGTTGCGCTCATGTTCTAGCTAGCCCGTTTCTCTCTTGGTCTTGGGCAACCCACCCACTTCATTAATGGTGTTCATCTTCCCGGATCTATTGATCAACCTCTTATTGAGGATCATCTCTTGTAGTCTTGTATCGAGACATTGATTGTTGAATGAATGGAAGTAGGCTTTGGCCTCTAAAAAGGAATAATAATAATAATAATAATAATAATAATAATAATAATAATAATAATAATAATAATAATAATAATAATAATAATAATAAAATATAAAAGAAGAAAACAAAACAAAATCTGTTTGCCCGAAGGCCCATCGAAGATCCCACATTTTCTTTAAAAACCGGTGTTCATGGGGCAAATCTCAGGCCGAAATCCCTGTCTGAAGATGTTATTCGACGGCATTATTCTGTCCAAGATTTGATAAAAATGTCCACGTGGACTTAGACCAGTATATGGAAAAGATCGTCTGATGTGGACTTAGAATAGGAGTGGCAATCGGGCAGGTTTGGATGGGTTGGGTTTGGGTTACACTTCAATCCAACCCATCTAACCTGTCAACCCATTAATGACCCATTTGTGTAATTAAATGGATTGGATTGAACCCAAACCCGCCTTAATCCAATCGATCCAACCCATGACTCTTTTACTTATTAAACAGCACAAGTATAAATTGTAGAAAATACAGAAATTAGAAAACATAGAACATGCAAAAAAAATCAGGAGAAATATAAATATGGAAGATAATTAAAATCGCAAGAAATATAGCCAGAATTACAAAAAAAAATGAAGAAAATCAATATAAATTGCCAAAAAAACAAAGAAAAACCAGAAAACATAAATTGCAGAAACATGAAAATGAAGAAAATTATAAAAATTACAAAAAATATAGAAACCCACTAAAATAACATAAATTGCAAAAAGAAAAAAAAACAAAAGTTATAGAGGAAACAAAGAAATGTATAAAAATAACAAAATTTACTGCAAAACATTTCAACACAACAGATAATAGAAGTTGCAAAAGAAAATATAACAAAAATTACAGAAAAACAAAGAAAAAAGGAAATTACAGAAATATGTATATAAATTTCATAAAATATAAAAATTGCAAAAAACATAACAAAATTATAAGAAAGTATAAACATTATTAAATAGAAATTATAGAAAGGTTGAACTTCTGCTACATTTAGAAAGGGACTATGAGATATTCATAGAGAAACGATGGGCTCTGGTCATCTGAATTTTATTAGCACCATTGAAAATGACTATCTTCTTTTATTAGCGCACATCACACTCTGTTTGGACCCCCTTTTGCTTTTGATAAACTGCGGTAAAGTCTACACTCCCTCATCCATATTGTTGCAACTGAATGAAGCTATAAAATGTGAAACAGAGCATAACAGAAATAAATGAATGAGCTCTGTGTCATCGTTGAGTTAGTATCACTTAGGGTTTGGATTTGGGGGGGGGGGAGGGGAAGAGAGAGAGAGGGTTAGAAAATCACTCGTTAAGATCTTCAATCATGGATTAGGGTTTAGAGAGGAGAGAGAGAGGTACGGTTAGAAAATCACAGATCTTCAAATATGGATTAGGGTTCAAAGAGGAGAGAGAGAGAGGTGAACGACGAAGAAGCAAAAGAGAAGAAAGAAAAAGAAAAAAAAAATCCGTTAATGGATACCTATAACTCAATCCACCGAATCCGTTAATTCTCATTTTATTTGGTTAACCAACCCGTTACTGACCCAACATAAAAGGATATAACCCAATCCGTTAATAAATGGGTGGGTTAGGCGGATTCACGGATTGGGTTGAAAATTGCCACCCCTAGCTGACACATTTTCTCTTTGTAGATTGAAGTTTGAACAGGTGGGCAATGCTTTCCATGCAGAGGATTCTTCTTCGTTCTGTATTTAATTTTTCTCGACAGTTGTGTTGGCTGAATATATACCCACGTGGGAGAAATATACATGTCAACTAGATAAAAAATAATCATTAGTGACCATAGAGTTACAACTTAAGCAGGCCCAATTGGAAAATGGGTTGGCCCAACCAACTTTGTCATGGGCTGTAATTGGATATGTAGGCCATTGACCAGGGCTGGACATAAAAGAGTCAGGCCTGACTCCAGATCAACTTGGGTATTCTTAAGCCTTTCGCTAGCTATCCTGAAAATCCAACTAAAACTCAAGCCGGATACAAAAAAGTTTAGGGTAAAATACAAAAACCTCATGAGTTTTCTGACAATCTTATAAACCTCTCCTGTGTTTTGATATGAACAGAATCCTCCCTTATTGTTTTGAAAAATGGTGCATATACCTTCCTCTTATTAGTTTTTCTGGCCGAAAACCCTAATGTAATATATTAATTTTCTTAAAATACCACATTTACCTTTAAAGAGATAACCGAAGCAAATTAATCTCCTACCCCTGTTTTTTCCACTTCTTTGTCTCAATTGAGCTAATCAATTGTCATTCATTTTTTTATCCTTTTGCTCTATTTTATTTATTTTTCACATTTTCTTACTTTTCCGTCTCTTTTATTCTTCTTCTCTTTCTTTCTTCTTCATTCTATTCCTTTCCTATTTTTTTCTTTTCATTTTCTGGTTTTTTTTTTTCAGGTGATAGACAAATAGGAACCACAATCTAGAGACTCCGTGGAGATGCCTGTTAAATGGTTTTAAGCAATTCTTTTTACTATTTAAGTAATTTAACAACTATTTTTCGGAACTATTTAATCTACCCAAAAGGCTTCAACCGTACTGAACTCATCTTTATAATGCGTTCTTACGATGTGTGTGACAGTACTCCAAGTGTTCAAAGAAATTCCTAACACGATCTCAAATCATAAAACAGAAAAAAAATTCAAAGTTCTATTAAGTATTAAGCGCCAACCTATTTCTCTTAATCTTACCTGGATTGTTTTATTAAATTTAACATGAACAAAGTCAAAGACATTGCCTTCCACACGGATTGATCCCCAAGAGCAAAAATCTTGACAAACTAGAGAAATCAAACATGGAATCTAAATTAAGATTATCAACTGCCTGTTGAAATCTTGCTGAAACCTACGAGAATGTTGCCAGTGAATTTGTGGAGATGTTTTTGTTTCAAAGAGAAGCTTGTTTTGTTCTTGTTGAACTTGATGTAAAAGTATACATCTCATAAAGAGGAGGATGATAGTTGGTAGTATTTAAGGGTATTTTAATAAATTTTTCTTTTAAGTTAACGGAACTTTAATGGAAGGGAGGTATTTATAGCTTTTTTCAAAACTATAGGGGAGGATTCTGTTAAAATCAAAACATAGGGGAGGTTTATAAGATTGTCAAAAAACTCGGGAGGTTTTTATATTTTACCCAAAAATTTATTTTCATGCATGTTTTTATGTGTCTTTTTGATAATATGCCCTTTCAAGTAATCATTTAACCTAAAATCTTTAGTTTAGCTGGTGCCCTAGGTGGTTGTTTTTTAAGCTCAATTTGGAAGGAGTATAAATATAAATTTGTAGAGTATAAAACCTTCTAATTTGTATTATTTTAGATATATTTGTACTGTATATATTTGTATTTGTACTTCTTCCAAACTGAGTGTATTCCTCTCAAACTAAGCCTTATGCTACATTTGAAAGAAGTACAAATATAAATATATAAAGTACAAAATCTTATATTTTGTTTGATTTTTTATATATATTTATACTTTACATATTTGCATTTGTATTCTTTCCAAATTGAGACTTAATATGTTATTTCGCATGCTTGAAGGGTGGACAAATACAAACTCATTCATATCTTGTGCTCTGAGCTGAGCTGTTATATCTGGGGTCCCTAAATAACATACTCTCAAACATTTAGATATTATATATACATGCATTTACACTTCATTAGAAAGAGTAAATACAAAGTTTAAAAAAACCATATACAAGGTTTTAATTATACCGTACATATTTGTATTTGTATTATTCCTCCAAACTGAGACTTGAAGTTGGTGTCTCTGAATTACATGTAGAACAGAAAAACAATTATTTCTACCTTCTGGAAACATAAATACACACATTGATATTCCACTTTTGATCTCAGTGCAACATTATAATTTATTTTATATTTTTATCTCTCTTGTCATTTTTCAGCAACAAAAGAGATTTTCACCCTGTAGCTGGGAATCTGAGATAGCCACTTGGCGCCCCTTCTGATATGGATGCACAGAATAAAACCTACATAACTGTAGGCTTTACGTCGTAAAGATGAATGCACCTCAATCCTCAATGCACCCTAGTCCCTAGCTGCTCTGTCCCCATGGACCCATCCATAAATCCCCTTCTAATGCGTAATGTGTAATACAAAAAAGGAAATCATATTAATTATTGTTTTTTCATTTGCTTGGTGCTCTATATATCTTTTCTTTTATAAGTTTCATCTCATTCTCTTCCTCCATCATGTTTGGTTGAATTAATTAATTTCAAATAAATTCATGGCCCCCTGTGTGTAGTGCAAATCTAAAGTAGATAAAAATTTTGCAAGTTTTTTATAGAGTGGGGACTGGGGATTTTACTTCATTTCACTTCCTCTTCACTTTCTTACAAACTGAGCCAA